CATTTCATAGAAATCACGTAAATACTAAAAGACAAGAGAGTAGCCAAAGAGCTAGATATCCCAAGTGCCCTACATCAACCAGGTCAACAGCGCACGTGAGCTCTGAGAGCTACCGAATTGCCATCACGAGGCAACCAGGAAAATGAAAAACGTTTGAGACACCGCTATACAGAAGCTATTACAAGTTTAAGTAGACATCTAACTACCATGGAGCAAGTTTTCAAACTAAGCCTGCTAAAAGAGAAGGAGGAATCAACACACGTAGATACCCCCTCCATTTACTAATACAAGGCCACTTCGTTTTTCGTGTCAATTTTGATTTAAATTTTTGCCATTTTAGTAAAAAAACATGGGTTAAATGTCATCAAAATATGTTATCAAAAAGTGCTTTGAAAATTGCATCCAGTGGTATACTTTTTGTGACATATAACTGGCATTTTATTGATAAAATGATGGTCAAAGTTAGACATAAAAATATGAAATGTCCTTGTATTAATAGAAGCAGGGAGTAGCATCAGACGTTTGCAGATTTTTCTTCCTTTTCTTCTGCTCTGTGAAGTCAGCTTCACGCTGTGCCTGCCACATTATGATTTTTCTTCTTTTTCTTCTACTGTACTACATCTTCTCCAAAGATAGAGCTTCATTGGATCCGAAGCACGTCAAAACGCCATCCTTGGACCACCTTAAAGACTTGTCATTTCTAGGATTTTTACCACCCACGTCAACCTTCTTTTATTTTTCTGTTTTGTCTGCAAAATATTCCAATCATTCAGCCATCTAGCAATCATATTTATGGGGACACAATGGTTAGTCATTTTCTTGTTATAAAATAGTGCCATTCCTAATCTTCCAAATGGTCTAGAAAACCACATAAATCCCAGCAAATGCCACGTGTTTTCCATCAGCGTGGAAATTTTATATCCAAGGTCCAAGCAAAGCTCACATTACCATGTATATCAAGCAAGTTAAAAACACACTTTACAATGTTCCAGAGTATCCTAAGGAGATGCCATTTCAAAAAAAGATGATCAATAGATTCATCTAATCAACAAAAGGCAAGCTTTGCTGCCAACCTACCCCCCCCCCCCCGGCCCGATCAATTGTCCTTTGTCAGGATGTTGTTTTGCAAAACTAACCACATAAAGATTTTAATCCTTTGAGGAATTTTAGTTTTCCACATAAATCTGTGAAAATCTAACACCATTTTCTGTTAAGTTTCTATAATATGACTAAATAGTATAGCCACCATTTTTTTGTTGAAGTCCATTTTATAGTGTCCCTCTTATCATTGAGAGCAGCTGCAGAACATACATCCTTTATATGATTCTACAATTCAAAGGGATCTCCTAGGAGAGTTCTACTGAACTGGATTTGGTCGATCCCTTTCCTAAAAACATCAACAACGCGTGTGTTTTTATCAAAACGTCAACCTAGGGAAGTTGAGTTGAAGTGGTTTATCCCCTAGCTGTCAATCTTCCCAAAACCTATCCTTTTTTCCATTGCCAACAGAGAGCTTACAAAGGGAAAAGAAATGATTTCTGAATTTTAACATGCCTTTCCAGAATTGTGAGTCCCCTATTCTAGGTTTAATCCCGGCAAGAAATTGGTTTATTTGATATTTCCTCTGTGAGAATTTCTTCCCATAAGCCCTTAGTGTTATACATTTTTCACCACAATTTACACAACTAAGCCTGGATCGTGATAGCTAAACTTTGGATGCCTGGACCTCCTAAACCTGTTGGTCTACACACCTTAGACCACATAACCAGATAATATTTCCTTTTCTTTTCTTCTTCTTGCCAGAGTATTCTAGCTCAGAAGAAATACATCCTTTTATTTACCCATACTGGCAACCCATAAAAGGACATCATGAGGTTAGGTATGCCAATAAGAGATGATCGAATCAAAGTAACTCTACTGCCACTTGGCAGAAACTTGCCTTGCCAAGTGCTACATTTATTTTCCATCTTATCCTCAATTTTGTTAGTGTTTGTTTCTAATTCTTTTCTCATCTACATGCATTCCTAAACATTTCAGAGAATGGCTTCCAATGGGACAAGTGAATATATCAACAAAATTAGCTGCTTTTCTCTTGCTTCCCTAAACAGAAACCACCTACTCCTATGAAAACTAATTTTGAGCCTAGACATAATGGGAAGTGAATATATCAACAAAATTATCTTCTTTATCTCTTGCTTCCCTAAACAGAAACTACCTACTCTTATGGAAACTAATTTTTGAGCCCAGACATTTGTTTGAATAAACATAGTATAAATTTCAGGTTTTGAGCACTATCATAATCATCCTCTAATTTAAAATGGTATCATCTGCATACTGCAACATATTAAGACCATTTTTAGTATATTCTGACAACACCACTTTAATCAAACCAGACGCCTGACATTATTCATTAGGATGGCTAGAGAATCATTGACTAGATCAAACATTAAGGGGGATAAAGCACCTCCTGTCTCAAGCCCTTATGAGTAGGAAAGGCCCAATATGCATGGTCACTTACTTTAATACGTATATATTGCCCGCCCCCTAGTAGTTGACATGACCCAATCAATCCATTTATCAAGGAACCCTTTCAACTTAAGCATCTGCTAAACAAAAGACCATTGTATCTTATCATAAGCTTTTTTAGAAGCCACCTTAAAGATAAAGGCACTCTGTTTTTTAGCATGAATACTGTTTAGAGCATGTAGAAACATCATACCCTCCATAATATATCTCCCTTTTACAAAAAAATGTTTGAATGGAAAAAGTCACCTCTCTAGGTACTATATTTAATATATTCATGAGGACTTTTGTAAAAAAATACAGACATTTAGGAGACAAATAAGTCTGTAGTTTTGTATAGGACTGGCACCTTTGATCTTGGGCACTAGAGTAATGGTACCATAGTTAAGCCTCAAAATATCTAAATTGCCTTTATGAAAACCATCAAATTAGCCCTTTAAATCAAACTTGACAAAATCCTAGAAGTGCTGGTAAAATTCAATAGTAAACCCATCAGGCCTGGGGATTTGTTATGAGCCATTTTGAAGGCTACTTGTTTTGTTTCTTCCAAGGAGAATGGTGCAGTCAATTTATCTGCAGCCCCTCGAGAGATAGTTTTGGGATTCTCAACATCTAATGAAATGTTAGAGACATTAGGCTGGCCGAACAATCTTTTAAAAAATAGTGATATAATGAATTAGCTCTTTCTCCCCTTCAATCTTGCCTTCTTCTTGATCTAAAGTATTAATTCTATTTTTTTTCTTCTTCTATCATTGGCATATGGCACCCGTTGATTGACAAAGATCAAGAGCCCGTCTACTGGTTGCCACCATATCGATGACAGACCAAAAGTTTCTCTGAAA